CTTAGCAACCGTCATTAGCCAACTATACACAATTCAGCAGGTTCTAACCCGCGAACTCGTTATTTAGAAGTCCAACATTCTTTCTACTGCGGCACAGGTTTACTTTCTTCTCGGTTTGACAGGGGATAAATATAATGGTAGATATGCGTCCACCGAACGCAATCGTCCTTTTATGCCTCGGGGTTAGCTTTGGAGTCCCACCAACATCCGCTAAACAGTCAGAATATGCTGTAATTAGAAATTCATTAAAGACAATGATTATAAAGTCGCATGCAAAACTGCTCTTTTTTAATTACAAAATACGCAGTCAAGCATGCAATTCAACCAGTAGTCCTACGAATTTTTGTATTATTAGTGGTTACCGAGTAGCGAATGTTCCACGACCTGATATCACAAAATGAGTATGAATATCTGCCTTCTTCCTCCAAATTTGAAAGAAGGTAACCTCACAGTCAATGGTTAGCGAATGAGTATTGCATGAAAACGAAAAGATTCTTTTCAGTTCAAAATTGCATTAGCCAATAGCTGACACAAATACAGAAAAGTTACATGTAAACTAAATTTCAAGCGTAACGACAAAAGGACTTGCACAGTCGGGGTCCATCATCTTGTCCACTGTTAAAGACCACGTGCTGGTAAAACTCAGACCAGGTTGCGTGACCCCATGCCTAGCGCAGACACGATTTGTAAAGATAAGCGATTTTTTTTCAATAGCATTTTACCAGTGCATACAAAAAGTTTTCGACATTGTTTCACATCATTTGGTTCGATCATTCAAGCTCAATTTCTTTAACATCTTCGTTCTGTAGTAGGTTTTATGCAATCACAAAAATCCAGAAATATTGTAAATGTTACTAAAATAAATAACTATTTATTGTCTCGCCGCAGCATCAATGTTCGTTTTCCAGTATGGAAATTAATATCAGTCCTGCGTCGAACGCTCTAATTGTACGAAATCTGTAAAATGTATGTTTCAATCTAACTATCAAGCGTACACTAGTATAAGGTATTGCTAGGAATCGTACTACACAGTTTGGTGCCTCAATTAGTTAGTATGCTTCAGTAATTACTATTGAGGTTTTAGGATACGTATTCGGTGGGATGAATTTACACCTCAGTTGCATCTTAAACTCTCCCAGTGGATGGTCAACGGCGCGTTCGATCGATAGTCCCGCATATAAGGTGGTCATGGGTGAGGACTTCGCTGAGAGCCTTGCATAAATCAGGAATACTCTGGCAATGCAAAGTCCACCCTATAGCTATCCCCCTGAGGATCTGAAGACTGCGAGACGCCAGTGAGAGAGAGAGGCAACATCATGGGGTGGTAAGATGAGTCCTGCATTAACGCAAGTCAGCTTTTCTGCGTATGCTTTATGTTCCGTGGAGATTTGTAGCATAATTTGGGTCTCCAATTGACATAAAATATTTCACCGTTCCGGTCGGTCAGTTCTTGAAGTATTATTTGCTTCGCCTACGCACTTTAGCTGCTTCTTTTTTGCCTGCACAACAAAAGAAACGAAAATGCACGTAAAAACAGTCATGGTTATAAGTCTGGCTCTAAAAGGTTAATTGCTTCTATGACGTAAAACAAATAATTGCTTGTGCCTACAAGGGAAAAGTTTCCGTGTTTTTGGAGGACGTTGGGAGGGTCTAGAATAACAATATACTTGTTTGGTCGAATGAAGCGACTGGACTCACATTCAAAAACATTATGACACATAGACCGGTGGTTCATAAACACCAGGATAGGCGAATCACACCCCATACCGATAAACAGAATAGTCTACAAATATGCACGCTAATGCTTCCTTCATCCACTAGCAGATAAATTTGCATAATGTGTTTGTGACAGGTGCTCTAGATTATTTTGGCTTCCCTGCAGCATTATCTGAAGTTGTCGGGATTTAGCACTGTACACAGGAAACTAAAATTTTATCGAAGACATTTATGATCTATATATTTCCATTGTCAGCAAATCAACTTGCTTTTACTTCATTCCATTTGTCTTTTGTAGTAAAAACAATCGAAATTATCCTGCGAAACTGAGCATACATCATCAACACGAGTGCAGGCGTGTTACGACAAGGCTGCCTTCATAGCAGGCTGTATAGAAAGGAAGAAGATGACACGCAACTTAGACATTTGTAGGCTTAGTATGCGCTGCGTTTTAAACGTATTCACATTCTGCAGCTGTACACGCAGTCGCATTGAATAAATTCTTGCATTAAAACATTTCTTCGGAGACGAATATTTTTGAAAAAGTATGCCTAAGAGCAATAGTTTTGCGGTTCGTTTTTAGAAGAGTCGTATCGGGCTTTTACTCCGGTGTAAATACCTGCAATTAGATGTTTGGCAAATACTCATGTTGCAAACTGTTCGAGGGTTCAAGTCATGATGTTGCGTACGAAAACATAGGTCACGCCGCGACAGAAAAGAGAACCTAGCTAAAAACTTCCCATTTTTGGACTTCAGGCTTGCGCGAGACAGCGGCAGTAGTAGGGCAATTTTCATAATTTTCTTCATTACATCGCATTATTACATTGGCATAAATAAACTACTTCTTCGCTTCTTTGTCGACTAGGTAGAGGCAAGCGCTTGTTGCATTCATTAATAAGTAGACAATACACTTACGACGCCGTGGTTGCCTACTTCGCCATCGGCATACTGTGAGATAAAACAGGCAGGGCGACGAAATGTTGCACGTAGGCATATCTAGCCTCTTGAAATCGTAATCGGTAAGGTGCATGATAACGCTTAGTTGATAAAAAGGACCAAAGAACAGTTACTTCCTCAATGAAAAACAGTGCATCTGTCAGGCTTCATTAAAAGCGGAAAACAGTGTTCGTTCGTCGGTAAATAGATTTCTCTAAAAGGGTAGAAAAAATTGAGCAAAAACCGCATAAGAGAAAAACTGTGTTCTTTCGGTAGACTAGGAGCGTTCATATACCCCTAGTGTGCATGTCTGTCTAACACTAAATTCAGAACCTTAAGTATTACTTCGTAACAACGCGATGAAAATACTGCAGTCGTCCACTGATTCTGCGATCTGGCATCGAAGACTCTAGCGAGTAAAATCGCTATGTAGTTTCCTTTCTATTTAGTCTCATTGGCAAAGATATTTTTTGCCTTTTAAAAGCAATAATAAGCTATCAAATGACTGGACTCACACAAGTTTATGAAGTATTTTACATCAAAACGTAAGAGTAAACATACTTAAAGAGGATTCTAAAAATGGAAGTTGTTATTTAATAGTTACAATGATTGGCAAAGGGTGCATAACAGAACGAGCGAATCGAAACTTTCGTACACCGCAGTTTAAATTGATCTTAATTGCACGGAGGCTGAAGCTAGCATTAGATAAATTTTAGGTTTAGGTTTATAGCCTTGTTTTAACTTACTGTCAAAGTTAGGACCTGGGACGTAGTATTATTTCTGGAATTTTGTGTAAAGTCATGTCTTCCCCGAAGAGATATTCCTATTTCACGGTCGGTATACCATAGCATGGTCTGTATAAATTTCAGATATCAACCAATTAATCTAATTACAATTACAATTAGCATTTTTCCTTTTTATACCAAAACAAATAGTTACATCCGACTAGCACTATAAAATCAAAATATATGCATATAGGTTTTTGTTGTACTTTTATTCCTGTGCCAGAATGCGATTGAATCAACTTACTAAAGAGCCACGAATGAGATATTCGTAAATTCTAAGCAGATGATATTGATGATTACCCAACTGTTTTGAACAGAAGGATGCCTGGGTTGTTGAAGGCTCAGGCAAAGCACATTACCTTCTTTCAAAGACCCTTGGAATGTTTTTTGGGCAAGAAAAGTTGTAACATGAAATCAAAACGTCTTTGCTCACAGTTACTGATTTTTATTAAGATTTTTGGTTGATCTTTGCCATTATATTCAAGTTTGTACGGAGTTTCTTCGAAATGCATCCGTTCGTAGGAGGAATTATCTCACGTAAAAATAGTGCGTGAGCCCCCACACTACCCGAGATGACAGCCTGCTCGAGAGTGCCCTGCCTTAACTGTGGCCCCATGTCAGTGAGAAGCCGTTTGGCTAGTTCTCATCAGGCGAAAGCTATAAATGCATACAGACTATTTTGTGAAAAAGGACTTGTTCGATGTGAATACAGTTCTCCTTATGGTTGATTTTCTCCT